GTCAAGGGTGGCTTTCTTGAGGAAGACCCCTTTGGCTTGGGTCTCAAAGAATGAATAGGAGTTGACAAGTTGTAAGACACTCCAAACTGAGGGAGGGCGGCTCGGCCTGCGGCTTGGCCCGGGCGCGGCGGCCGCGGGCCGAGGCAGAGAAGACGCCGTGGAAGGTGAGGCGTCTGCGCCGGCCGCCGCTGCGGCACTTGGGGTCCGGCGCAGCCGCGTGTAGGGATGTAGAGCGCGGCGACTCGGAGTCCTTCTCCGAGCCCATCGCCCCCAAGGGCCGAGAGGCGAGGGGCGCCCAGCGCCACCACAGCTCCCGCCTCAGCAGCCCCCCAACCGGCGCCCCAGTCGCCGCCGCCCTCTCCAAGACAGAAACCAAACGGCGTTGACAAAGTGGTTATAAAGCCTCGCCCCGCCCCTCGCGCCGCTGTCCACTGCGCAGGCGCTGTGCTGAAACACCTCACAACCCGTGCTGCCCAGGCCGAGGGGGTGGGCTCTGGGCGGGGCCTAGCGGGGAGGGGCCAGGCTGCTGAGGCGGAGCCTCGTCTCCTCCCAGTCGTTTGGTTCCAGGACAGCCATCTTGAGGAGACACTAACCCAACGGCTTTTCTTGGCTTCCCCCAATTCTATTACTCCACCCCGACCCCCATCACCCCCAAGATGGAATTTTCGGTTTGCCTTTCCTCATGAATAGGCTGAATACCACTTCCAGCAAATGAGGCTTCAGTTACTTCATCTGTAAGAAGCAGACAAGGGTAGATTAGATGGTGATTCCTGACTGGTTCACCTTCCAATATTTCTTTCATTGTTGCTTATTAAGCAAAAACCATTCATAAAGAATACAGTCATTCACCGAGCATCTACAAAGTGGAGGCATTACTAGATAAGACAGACAAGGGTCCCCCTATCTGCAAGGGACAATTCCTTAATCGAGGATTCAGTGCTCTGCGTGAGCTAATAAACTGTATTCCTAGGCCCACCTCCCAGTCTATTCTCCTAGTGGCCTGGTTATTTACAATTTGTGGAAGGAGGCCCAGCATTTTTTTTTTTTTTGCCTGGGAGTGTGTTTCTTCTGCTGGTTCCCCACTGCTCTGACTAGGGGAGGATCTGGACTTGTGGACTCAGGTTTCCAAATGCGAGGCAAGCAAGTGACTTCAACAGCAATGAGAATGTATCAGGATTAGATTCAGATGCAAATAACAAAAGAAAAAATGGTGCATGATAGAAATTGCTTTCTTTCTTCATGAAAAATAAGTCCAGGGGTAGCCAGTTCAGGGCTGCTCTACCATCCTAAGCACTTGGTGTCCAGTCTTAAGGTTACCTTGTTATGGCCCACGTGCCACATAGAGGAGAAGAAACAGGAAAGAAAGATGACCTTTTTCCTTTTAAGTGGGCTGCCTTGGAAGTCCTGCACATTTTTGCTTACATCGCGTTTGCCAAAACATAGCCACATAGCCATACTGGGAACTGTAGTCTTTTCAGTGGCACAGTGTGCCCCTAAAATTAATAGGGGTTCTGTTATTAATAAAGAGTGGTAGAATGCATACTGGAAGGTAACCAGCTGTCTGTTTCATAGATGGTGTTTAAAACCATGAGAAAGGTCCCTAGAAACAAGACCTGAGAACCTTTCAACTTTTGAGGTGAAAGTAAAAGAAGAGCCAGCAAAAGAAACTGAGAAGCCGGGGCTGTGAAATAGGAGAAAAACCAAGCAGGGGTGATGTCACAGACACCAAGATCAAGTGTTTCCAAAGGGAGTGGTCAATTGTGACAAATGCTCCTGAGAAGTCAAGAAAGATAAAAACAAAGACGTGACCACTGGATTTGTCAATACCAAAGAGACCTAAAAGGAGGAGCAATATTTCTCCTCAAGAAGGAAGGAAGGGCCCGGCCGAGTGGCGCGATGGTTAAGAACTGGCTTGGGACGCCAGAGGGCCCCGGTTCGGATCCCACATATGAGGGCCAGTGACACTGCCCTCTACAGCTAAGATGCTGAACAACAGCTCGACCTGGAGCTGGGCTGCCGTGAGTCGCCGGAGACGGCGTAGGCTGCAGTCCCTGTGGCAGTGGGTTGCCATGGGCTACCGTGTGTAGCCAGCAGCCAGCGTGAGCAGTCAGCAGCCGCAGTGAGCGGCCGTCCAGAAGCCGGCGACTGATCTGCCTCGCCTGGGAAGAGCGCAATGATGGTGCCAACTTGGGCCAGTGAAGCAACGTCCTCCACAACTAGACTGAAGAACAAAAGGACAGCAACTTATCTGTTCCCATCCCCCAACTCCCCAATAAAAATCTTAAAAAAAAAAAAAGGAAGGAGGTCTGATGCTGGCTGGGTAAAACAACAATTAATTTCTATATATTGGTCAGAAGAGGCTAGACTCTGCTGTGGTAACAACCCAAATATTTCAATGGCTTAACACAAGAATGGTATGTTTTTCCCACTCATGCAAAATCTGCTATGGGTCAAGGCACTTTCCAGGGCAGTTCTCCTCCACTCTACTGGGTAACTCAGAGCAACAGACAGCTTCCATCTCGGGCTCTACCACCTCAACATGAGCCTTTCAGGATTGCCTCAAAAGGGGAAAGAGAAATGGAGGGTCGTGCACCGGCAATTAAAGACTTCAGCATGGAAATGACATGTTATTTCTACTCACAGACTATTGGCCAGAACTTGTCATACAGGCCCAATTTCCCTGTACCGTTTTTGACTGTTCTCAATGCCCAGTGTCCTGATCAACTGTGGAGCCCCCTTGGAGGAGGTATGTGCCTGTGGTGGGGATTAAGAGTGGGGTAGAGAGCTGTCTTGTCACTTGGGTCAGATTGTGCCAAAGGAGATGGGGACCCCTGATTCTAGGCAGACGCACATGGCTTATAGATGCTTCTCCCTGTGCAGCTGACAGAAACAGCTGTCATAATCCTAGCTTGCTGAAAAGCTCAGCATACTAAATGTTTGTCTTGGCTCTGGCTCCCAAACTAACTCTGCCTCAGCTCAAAGCTGCCACCGTCAGTACTTTGGCAGAAAACTGACCTCTCATAAATGCCACTGGACTTTGCGATGGCCCCATTTTTCCTGGGGTTTCTTCTCTCCTGAATCCATCACCCTTGAATTGAGGGACTAAAGCAGTTTCTCTTACTTTTTCTTCTGTGTCTCCCCTTGATAGAAACTGAGTACTGACTCAGGGAGATGGCACGAGAGAGAGAAGGATTCTTATCCATCTATTCACTCAGTTGGTAAACATTTATTATACTTTGTGTTAGGCCATTTGCCAGGCACTAGGGTCATGGAGATGAAAAACATAGCTTAAGGGGGGTTACAGAAAAGAAAGCACGTCATTGGGACACTAGGTGATGAGGACATGTACAAAAAGCTGTGACAAGCCAGAGGAAGGTATAGCAAGCCTTGCTCAGGGTGGTCAAGGGTGGCTTTCTTGAGGAAGACCCCTTTGGCTTGGGTCTCAAAGAATGAATAGGAGTTGACAAGTTGTAAGACACTCCAAACTGAGGGAGTCTGGAGGAAAGGGATAGGGATACAAAAGACAGGATAAGTCTGAAGAAATGTGAAGAGCAGGGTGTGACAGAAGTAGAGAATGTTTGAAAGGATGCACAAGAGAAGAGAGAAGGGAAAGGTTCTGTATTATGAGTTTGCTGGATGCAAGAAAAAGAAGTCTAACATGGACTAGTGAAAGGGACAAAAGTTTTGTCACCCCAAAATATGCCTTTTGGGATATTGATTTTAAGCTGGTTGTTAAGAAACAAAAGACTCAGGAAGAGCCTTAGACCCTCCCCCTTACCTACTTAAGGGAATTCAGATAGAAAAAACTGCTTAAAGGAAGGGAGCATCACCTTAGCATCAGAATACACACTAAATGTGGCAGACAAGGAGAAATCCAGTAAAGCCTGTTTTCCTCTGTGTTCCATTGTTTCTGGGTGGACTGCCAAGAATTTATCACGTTTGCTCTTTTTTTTCCGTCTACCTGTAAAGTGCCTGCTTTATCTTTGAAATCCCAGACCCCTGCCTCCCTTTCTTTTCAGAATAGCACAGAAGCCTCACCTCCCAAAGCCTCCGTAGGTCCCATATTCTTGTGGCGCCCTCCACATGTGTATCCATAATAAATTTCGGACATTTTCTTCTGTTAATCTGTCTCATATTAAATTGATTATTAACTCAGCTACAAGAACTTAGAAGGTGGGAGGCAAGTTATTTTTTTGACACTCTCCCAACACTAGAATAAGCCAAAAGAGTGATTTTGGGCTCATGTAACCCTTTGAGACAAGTACTATGGCAACTGGGCCCTTGGTCATGGGGGATGGAATGCCATGACTGATAGTCCCCATCTGGACCCTATGGTTGGAGCCGAGACAAGAGTAATTCTTATGTTTTCACAAAAAGAGAAGGGCCAAACATGAGCAGGTGAAATATGAAATGTTCACCAGAGATAGGTTGTGGCCAGGTCACCAGAAGTCTTGAACACCAGACTGAAAACCTTAGCCTTTATTCTGTTAGGTAGTGGGACATTGTGGGAACATTTTGATCAAGGAGAGCCATATATACAACGAAGTTGGCCTGAAAAACCTGTCTTTCTTTACTTGAGGTTCTATTTTTGAGCTTTCTCTTGCCTTTCAAGGCTGCTCTGAAAGCTAATTTTTATCGGATGTACCCTGAATACTGACTGGGCCCCAGCTCCTACCACTGGCCTCAAAAGTAACCTCTATCTGGTGTGACCCCTGCCTTTTCCCTTTGGATCAGGAGCGGTGAATGGCACTCGGCCTAGTCAGTCTGATCTGAGTTGCCTCCTGTCTCCTGGCTCTTCCTCCTCACCACCTGCCTCAGTGAATGGCCTCCCCATCCAACTGGAAGTCCTCCTGCTCTGACCTGCCTCCAACCCCCACATCCAAGTCCTACGTACCTCTAAAGTGCTATGGAACCTCCACAGTGCTTACAGAACCTCTGCCTGCTTCAAGCCTCATTACCTCTCTTTCCTGGGCTCTGGCCCCAGCTCCTCAATTGGTCTCTTTTGTGAAACCATCAGCTCATGTCAACCCCTACTCAAAAACTTTCTATAGTTCCCACTGCCAGGCTCGCCTCTTTTCATGCATCTTGGAATTGAGCCATTTGGGCTTCTTGATGTTATCTAAACACATACTCAGAAGTATCAAGTCTGATTCTTTGCAAGTGCTGGTCTACTTGGTGCAGTCCCATGCATATTTCCAGGCTCACTTCCATGATCATTGTAACCTTTTTCTACACTCAGACCCACCTCCCTCCCTCCTTTGTGTCCCCAGGGCACCATGTAGATAACTCTAGTGTCACACCAATTGCAAGGATGACCACATAATTTACTGTCCAAACCCAAGACACTTTTGAGAATGAAAAGGAATGCTATTATTAACTGTTATTGTTCAAAAGGTGTCAATCAATCTGGTCCTGGCAAACTAGAAGGCATGGTCACATATGTACATTCAACATTATCATAAAACCTGGTGGGCCAGCCAAGTGGTGCGTTGGTTAAGAGTTGGCTTGGGCCACCAGCTCTGAGCAGCAGAGCCCCTGTTCAGATCTCAGGTGAGGGCCAGTGATGCTGCGCCCTCTACAGATAAGATGGTGAACAACAGTTTAACCTGGAGCTGGGCGGCCGTGAGTCGCCGGTGACGGCGTAGGCTGCAGTGAGGCTGGCCAGCAGCCGGCGTGAACTTTTGAGAGCTGCCGTGAGCCAACGTGAGCGGCTGTCCAATGGCCGGCAAGTGACTGCCTCACCCGGGAAGAGCACAGTGATAACACCAATCAATATGGGCCAGTGAAGCGACGTCCTCCACAACTAAACTGAAGAACAAAAGGACAGCAACTTGTCTGTTTCCCTTCCCCGATTCTCCAATGCTGTTCCTCTCCCCCAATTCTCCAATAAAATCTTTAAAACACACACACAAACAAAACCCCCCTGGCATTTAGTACTTTCATTTATCTCATATCTTTCAGCTCTTTGAGATACTATTGTTATTCCCATTTTTAAGATGGCATAAGAAAAACCTGTCTAAGTGATAGGGACCCTGCTCTCCATTCAGGCCAACATGGAGCCTCAGAGAGAGAGAAGACTTGTAGTCACACAGCCAGAAGGTGGCAAAGCTGGCCTGGGAAGCCAGATTATTGAGTCCAAATCCTGGACTCTTCTGACTTTAGAGGTTGGTATGTACCACCACACTCGACCTGTCTCGTACAACCGAGTCTTATCTACGTTAGTCATGTGTGGTTCCCCTAGATGAAGGGGAAAGGTAGAAATGGAGTTATTCATCTTGTACATGGGCCCCATCCAAGTCCTAGTGGAGAGAAAGCTCAGGATATGTTTTTTTGGATAGGTGACCTACTTGAGGACAGAACTGTGTTTCATCTTAAAAATCTGTGCCCCCTTCCACACCTAAAACCTAGCACAGGACTTGCTATGCTTCTATTCATTATGCGTTAACATTTATTAAGCACCTACTATGTGCCTGGTAGTGTGTTGGCGATATAACAATAAGCAAATAGACAAGGTGTTCTCATGGAACTTCCAGTCCAGGGGGGAAAGCCATACGAAAAACAGTGACAAATAAACAGATTACAAATCAGGATTGATGCCAAAGAAAAAAACCTGGGTGCTGGGGTTTAAGAAATGTTTTGGAGGTAAATTTATTAGATTTTGGTCATAGATTTGATGGACAGTGAGATGAAGATAACTCTTGGGTTTCTGCTTAAAACAGACCGTAACACAAAGAAGGAGCAGTTTGAGCTGTAATAAGGTCGGTATGGATGTATGGAGCTTGAGGTATTTGTGGAATTCCTGTTTTAATTTTTCCCACCTCCAGACAGGTTAATTGATTTGCTCCAACTGCAAAAGTGTGGCATCTAACAGAAACCTGCTTCAGCCAGCCCAAACAAAGCTGGCTTTCCGGCAGAAAGAGAGACAGACAGGTCGGGGAATGCAGGAAAGGGATGTGTTCATGGAGACAATCAGACCTCCCAAGCTGCAGTGAGGACCGTGGTGGGATGCCAGGGACAGCGGTGCATAATGCGGAGAGAGCAGGACCCCTCTCCTCCCCTGCTCCGTGCTGAGCCGACGCACTACTCCTGGGTCTCCCGAACAAGGGGAGGGGGCTGCTCTGTGCCTGGAAATCGGAGCAGCTCTGGCTGGCTCCGCGGCGGTACTCGCCAATCCGGCTGCGCCTGGTGGCGGCACCACGTGACCAGTCTCCCCACTCCTCCCTTCCCCTCCCCTCCAGAGCCTTCCAGGGAAGTCGGGCATCCCCGCCATCCTGCCGCCCCCGCTATCCCGCCCCTGCTGCTCACGTGCCGCAGCCGCGCGGGAGGGTGCTCCGCGAGTGGCCGGAGTTCCGCCGCAGTCCGCCGCAGCGCGGCCGGGAGGGGAGACAAGCGAGTTGCATCCGCAACGCCCGCAGTGTTTTGCGTCAAGGTCAAGCATACCCACTCTCCTGCAAGGCTGCCTCCGAATCCCTCCCTTCCCGTCCTCCCATCCATTCCCACCGCCGCTGCCATGCGTCCGGCCTCTGCATCCCTGGCCCTCCTGGATCACTGCCCTGGGTTTCCTGCCGGGACAGCCGGGGATGAGGTTTCAATCTATCCCGCCCCAGGAGAGTCCCAGCAGCTTTATTCATTTGTACATCTCATGCTGTGTCGCCTTGCTTTAAACCCCCCCGCACTGGCTTTAAACCCCCCCCGCACTGGCTCCCAATTCTCCTTAAGAGAGCACTAAGGCACTTCATAACCAAGCCCCAGCTTAACCCTTCTAGCCCCACCGCCCTCTTGCATCAGAGATCCCCCTTGCCCTTCCAGGAACAGCCATCATTTGCATACTTAAGTGACTTCGCTTGCTGTATCTTCTGCCTTGGGTGCCCTTTGTGAACTTAGCAAATTCATAGACCGAAATGTCTTATAATTATGCAATGGAGGGTGGAAAAGGGCGCTGAAATGCCTCTTACCAAAGGTCACAAAAATGGAAGCCTGTAGGGGTCAAGGAGGAGAAATAAATAAGGCCAATGGGCAGGGGCATAAGAAAAACCTGTCTAAAGGACAGGGACCCTGCTCTCGATTCAGGCTAACGTGCTCCTTGGGGGGAATGTGGGTCCTATGATGCCAGATATTTGAGTTTATAAGTCAAGCTGCAAATTCATATTATTATACGCAATCTCCGAATTTTTAAATGTTGATTTGATTTTTAAAGACATCCCTGTGGGCCAGGGGCAGCTTATAGAGCCTCACTGTGTGACCTCCTTGTAGGGAAGAGGCGAGTTTTCACTGAGAAAATACTGTGAAAAACTGTTCAAGGGGAAGGTGAGTCTTGAAGCTCTGAGAGGCAGCTGTTGTGGGGGCAACAAGGAAGAGGCCTGGAGACTCTACCAGAAACTGGAGGACTGGGTTTGGGTAAAGGGCATGAACACAGGGTGGGGGTGAGGGTGGATTAACTACCGTGAGTGACAGCAAACATTGCCTCCCATCCTTGTAGTGGCCTCACGATGGCCTGAAAGGGGCCCTTGTAGTGCTGTGCCTTATGGGGGCCGCGGGGTGAGGGGTGAAGGGGAGATAGGAGGGGAAGCCAACAGTCCCCCACCCCCAATCCCTAAGGCTTCAGCAAAGTGGGATAATGCCTGGAGCAGAAATTGCAGAGCTCCTTAGGAAGAGAGAGTGGAAACAATAGCCAAAAAAGGGCAGATGTCCCTTATCTTGAGATAAGAGCTGACCCTGGGCTGGGGGGCTGGGAACAGTGTAGAGAGAAACAGAAGAGCCAGCTGAGGCTGTATTGGAAACCAGGGTATTTTTAGTTCACCCTGAGGTTTTTTGTGGCTTTGATGTGATCATCTCTCATCCCTGGAAAGCTTCAAAAAAATCTAATGCGCACTGAGGCTGCCCTGACTGGAGTGTTTGTGAAATGGCTTAAGGGGCCAAGTTTTACATTTGTGTTGGTGTAGTGCTGACCAAAGACAGTCTAGGCTGAAGCAAAGGCTGGACCAGAAGAAATAAAACCTCCCAGGAATTTGCAGTAATCTTGGAGAGGGTTTTGGAATGGGTGATTGGGCTCATCCCATGATCTCAAGGGATCAGGGGGCTCCTGGCTGACATCTAGGTTACGGTAATAAAGAATCAGCTATAATTTATTCAGTGCTTGCTTGTGGCAGACAGTGTGCTACATATACTATCTGTAGTGATTGTATGAGAGAGGTACTATTATTATAGAATCCCCATTTTACAAACGAAGAAACTAAAGCCCAGAGAGGCAAAGCAGCTTGCCCAAAGCCACAGAGATAGAAAACAGTGGACTGGACCTGCTCTCCAGCCGATGGCCCCCAGCAGAAGAAATTGTCATCCAGTCTGGGATTTTCATAGATAGCACTTATCATGCAAAGTTATAGGCATTGTTTTGACTTGAAAGTCTGTCCTTCCCATGCATCTGAAAGGGGGCAGGAACCATGCTGCTGACAAGGAGAACATTCTGAGATGTCTTAAATGAAATTACAACAGGCCAGAGGGTGGAAGGAAGAGCAAAAAGGGATGAATCAGTTAATACCTGCAGTGCAAAACTAACAAAAGACTGCTCAGATTCCTTCGTGTATGTTGGAATTAAATGAACTTCCAAGTGGCTGTTTCCGAGATTATCTAAAAAGAGAGAATAGCCAGGTACCGTGAACCCCAGGAAACTCCGTGTCTTGTTTATCCCATAGCGTTATGGACTCCACTGCAGGCTCTGCTGGGCCTATCCCGGACCTAACCCTGTTTCACCTTCTCCCATCCCCTTTGTCTATAGCTAATGTAAATTCTTTCAGAACGGATTACATCCTTCTTTCCCTCCATCTGATGTATAAAAATGCTTGTTCCTCCGGGACTAGGTGTTTTCTTTCCTACCTAGCCATTGCTGCTGGTGGTTTGGACTTCATGCTCCAAGACTGGTCTTGGTCTTTTTTGGGGTTTTTTTTTGCTAGCAATAGCCTAACCCTTTCTTTTAAAAAGACTTGCAACTGTGGAAGTTAAAATTGTTGCTTCATACCACTAATTTTAAGTGTCTGGCACACAGTGGGTGCTGAGTACATATTAATTCCTTCACGGCCCAAACCAGTGCCCTCAAGCCTTAGATCTTTGTGCCCTTGGGCAAATCATTCACCCTCTCTGGGCCTCAGTTTCCTCATCTGTGAAATGGTGATTATAACGTAGACCTTACAGGATTATTGTGAGATTTAAATGAGACAAAGCCATGAAGTTTCTATAAATTGCCATACAACTGGCAGCTGTTGTTGCTGCTATAAAGATGGTGATGATGATGGTGATGATGATGGGGACTGAGGAAGGAGCAGGGAAGAAAACCAGGATCTGGAAATTCCAGAACGGTATCAGTTCAGACAGGAAATCCTCAGGAGATCCAGCCAGTTTGCAGAGATTCTAAGATTACTGTCTTTATTCATTTGTCATTGCTGGGACACCTACTGTGTGCCAGTGCTTGTCCTCATTTCTTTCAAAACTCTGTAGAACAGATACTCAAATTATGTTTATTTTACAAGTGAGGAAAATGAGGTTAGAGAGGTGACACGACTTCCCCAACGGGAGCACAGCTAGAAAGTGGCAGAGTCAGGATTTGAACTTAGATCTCTGTGGTTCCAAAATCCTTGCAAAGGGGACCAAAGTTTGCCAGCCCAAAATGTGCCTTTTGGTTATTAAGAAACAAAAACTCAGAAAGAAACTTCCCCCTTACCTGCTTAAGGGAATTCAGATAGAAAAAACTGCTTAAAGGGAGTGTCACCTAAGCATCATAACATAAACTAAATGTGGCAGACAAGGAGAGATCTAGCAAAGCCTGTTTCCCTCTGTGTCCCACTGCTCTGGGTGAGCTGCCAAGAATTTGTTTATCACATGATAGCTCTTTCTATCTACTTGTAAATTGCCTGCTTTCGCTTTGAAATCCCAGACCCCTGCCTCCCTTCTTAGTTCAGAATGCCATATAAATCTCAACTGCCCATAGCCTCCTTCCTAGAGTCTCAGTCTTATGACACCCCTGCATGTACATCGTAATACATTTTGGACATTTTCTCCTGTTAATCTGTCTCATGTTAATTTGATTAGCCCAGCTACAAAAATTTAGAAGGTGGGAAGAAAGTTTTTGTTTTTTTTGTTGTTTCCCCCTCCCACCCTCCATGCTTATTCTTTCTGCTTTCTGTTCCACAGCTTCTCCAGTCTTCCCTTCATTCACCAGAACATTTATCAAGCATCAAGTAAGTGCTAAGCTTTCTGCAGGGGCAGGGGATACCAGACCCAGACTGTCTGAAAGATGTTTCCAGGTCAAGTTGGGGAGTCAGACAACTCAGTGGACATTTACAAGTCAGCATGATAAGCTCTCTGCTGGGGGAAGTGCGGGTGATAGACCAGTGGGCTTTAGACTTCCTTCTCCTTGCTCCGGACCCCTTGCGGTACATCTCAAACTTGCCACAATGGTTTCCTTCAAACCCCCTGCCCTAAAATGAAGAGTCACACCCTCACCCGTCCTCTCTGGGGCGGAGGGGTGTTGCAGTGGGGACTAAACAATAACCAATAATCCTCTCCAGGAGAACCCCTCCCAACCAGCCTCTCCTCTCTGTCTCCGCCATGCACACACACGCACACTCCATGATGACCAGAGGTGGGTGATGGGTTAATGCTGGTTGAACCAGTTTCTCCATCCTTTAGCATGCCCTGCTTGGGTGGTCCTTGGCATGCCTTGTCTCTGCCCCAAAGCCAAAATAAAAGGAAACTTACATTTAACATCCTGTTACACATGCATTAAAGAGAAGTCAGGAAGGAAAGTCACCCAACTGTCAATAGTGATTATCTCTGTGTGGTAAAGTTACGTGATCTCTGTTGTCTTCTTTTTATTTTTTTGCTTACATTTTTTTTTCTACCATGAACATATTACTTTTATAATCAGTAAAAATATAAACAAAACTATCCTCTATTATAACAATTATTTGTGGCCTCACAGCTGTGGGAGAAGGTCGATGAGAAGCAACATCAGAAGTGGCTTTGTCCTGAGCACAGCCGGTACTGGACAAGACAGCACATAGTGGAGAGGCGAGGAGGTGAGAGGGTCATCAAGGATTAAAAACAAGAGCCGCCATTCCTGAGAGCTTGCTCTGAGCCCAGTTTCTTCCTAGACTCTGATGTGCATATCTCAGTTAACCCTCGAAACCAGTATAGGCGATAAGCTGTTATTTCACAACTGGTGAAACCAAGGATCCATTTTCTAGGAAAAGAAACTAAGACTCAGAGAGATTCATTTACTTGTCCAGGGACACACAGCTAGAAAGTGATTGGGGCAGGATTTGAATCCAGATCTGTATATTTTCAACTCCTGGACTTAGAGGCCATTCCAAGCCCTCCCAGTTAAATGTGCTTATTATATACATAAGCTCTTTACACACAGCTCTTTACACACAGGCACTCATAGTACTATGCAGAGCAGCCGGTGAAGTGAAGGTCAGTGTCTCATTCTCCAAATGAGAGAATTAAGGCCTGACAGGGGACTTGTTTAGTGTAGCCCGCTGAGAAGTGGTGGCACTCCTTCTAGAATCCAGGCCTCCTTCCTTCCAGCAGCCCTCCTCCTTCCGCCACCTTCTGCCAACGGCCCAGGCTTCCTTCTCGAAACAAATGACTCAAGGTAAATTGCTGGCCGGACTTCCCCTTTCTCAAAACACAGGAAGCCTGTGTTGTTTGCAATTGTGGGGGAACAATTTCAGGTCAGTTACAAAGGGTCCATCCAGGGCCACATAAAGGACAGTGTTCAGCAACCTCAGGGTTCCCTGCGACCTGGGCTGTCAGAGACCTGCAGTTTTCCTTCCTGAAGGTCATGTCTGCGCGTGTCTGCCCAAGTCAGGCTTGAATCTGCGCCTCAAAGAACAGACTGAACTTATGGAATTTAGAAAAATGAGCCCAGGAGGAGAGAGGGGCAATAATAGTGGTAATAATAATAATAATAATAATAATAATAATAATAATAATAATAACACCTCACATTTATGGAACACTAACCTGTGGACCAGCCACTGCGTTAAGTGGCTGAAACACGTGGAGCCTCAAAACAACCCGAGGAAGAAAATTCTATAGCTTTGGAGCCAAATACAATTGGATTCAACTGTAGCCACGCTGCTTCCCAGCTGTGTGACCTTGGGGAAGTTATTTACATTCATTCAACAAATGAGCACATACTATGAGCAACACACTGTTCAGTGAACAGAACAAAGATCCCTGCTCTTGTGGTGCTTACATTCTACAAGGGGAAGCTGACAAATTGTAAACACAATAAGTAAATTATGTTAGAAATGATAAGGGCTGAGCAGAGCAAGGAGGATAAGGGGTGCTGATGGGGGTGGGGGAGGAGGGAGGGTGCAATGTTACAGAGTGGTGTCAGGGTCCGCGCCTCACTGAGAAGGTGATATTTAGGCAAAGCCTTTAGGAGGTGAGGGAGTTAGCCATGCAGGTTACTGGGGAAAACTTTCCTAAGCAGAAGGAATAGCCAACGCAAAAGCCCTAGGGTGCCAGGTGGTTTCAGAGAGCAGCACAGAGGCCAGTACGGCTGGACAGAATGAGCCAGGAAAAGAGTCCTCCCCACCCCCAACACTAGCCCCAGCATTGTTTCTCATACACGCTTTGTGCTTCCTTCATCAGTCTTTCATAATTTGTGATTATTTTAGTTATTTGGGTTTTTTGCTTGTTTCTTGTTTGCTTCCTCCGCTATCCCTAAGCTCCTGGTAAGCAGAAGCCATGTCAGTCTTGTGCAGTGCCGACCACAGAGAACATAGAAAGTGCTTAATACTAGTTGAATGAATGAATTAAATCCAATCACCCATCCACCTAGTTATATTTATGATAGAACCTCCCCATCATGTATAACACTGTTTCTCAGGTACCTCATTCTGAGTTCCAGTTCAGGATGGTAAGAACAGAGGTAGCAGTGAAGAGAACAAACAGGCTCTCGGGGTGACCAGTTAGCTCAGTTGGTTAGAGCGTGGTGCTGACAGCACCAAGGTTGCTGGTTCAATCCCTGCATGGGCCACTGTGGGCTGCGCCCTCCTTAGAAGAGTCAAGTATGCCATTGTAGCATGAAAGCAATGTGTAACCAATGACCATAGCTGTTCCCCAATAAAAAAAATGTAAAAAAGACAAACAGAGAGAGTAGGCTCTGGAGCCAGACTGCATGGCCAGACCTGGTTCTACTACTTACTAGCTCTGTGATCTCAGGCAAGTTAGGGAAACCTCTCTGTGCCTCAGTTTCCAAATCTATAAACTGGCATCAAATAGCATCCCTCTCCAAGGGTTGTAAGCACTCCGTGCCCCGTGTGTACGGCTCATACATGTGTTTGCGATTCGTGTTTCCCCTCTGCTGCCCAGCCCTGGGAGCCAGGACTCTGCTTCTTTCCTCCTGTACCAGATCCTAAAAGGGACATGAGAGGCAAGGGGTGCCATTCCTGGCTCACGTTCTCATCTCTGTGCTGTGTGCTGGCAGCTGGGAGCACGGGGGGTCTGGGGTTTCTACTGGAGTAGCAGTCTGGGGATATTGCTCTGTGTGTAGCCTTCTGGCCTGATTCTCTGGCCCTTTTCTGCTAGACGACCTAGAATGGACTCTCTTGTTTACAACCGAGAATGCTAACTGATACAGATACCGATATAGGCCTACTTCAGAGATATTGCGGGTTAGGTTCCAGATCACTGCAATAAAGCGAGTCGTAAATCTTTTTGTTGATGGGAGGGTCTTGCCTTCAATTTGTAAAAAACTCAACATATTGTGCTCAACATAGCACAATAAATGAGCTACGCCTGTACTCAGTACCTGCTTCTATATCTGGTACTTTACATTCATTATTTCGTTTACTCCTTAAACAGACCTGAGAGGTAGATAATGGAACCAACTCAGAGAGGTGGAGAGACTTGACTAAGGTCACATAGCCATTGAGTGGCAGAGCGAGGGTACAGGCCAAGGTGTGACTCCAAATTGCTCTCTTAAGGTGCCTCTCAAGAGCGACTAAAAGGCCCTGGCAGGATTTTCTCCTCCAGCGCTTGCTGCTATCTATGATAACAGCCCACAGCTGAGCTCTGCCTGGAGAAAAATCATGTGAGTCTGTCCTGAAGCCAGAAAGATAGGCTGCCTGGAAGGAACTTGGGTATTCAGAGGGGAACTGCCTTTCCTGAGTCAGTGCTTCGATAGGAGAAGCCCTCCTCCCTACTGCCCTTTAAGCCAGAGACATTTTCTCTCTGAGGCATGAGGCTGACTGTCACTGGGTGGCCTCATTCCCATGGAAATGTGGAAATAGAAAACATCTGGTGCAGCTGCAGTTGCCTGGCAACCACCAGCGACACACTCATTTGACAGAGTCAAGGAGGCTGCCTGATGCTGTCAGACGTTCTTGGATCTGAGACCTGGAGACCTTGATTCTGGTTCTGATCTGCTGAGTGATCTTGGGCAAGTGCCTGCCCCTTTCTGAAACTCAGTTTTCCATCTCTCGTGTAAAGAGCAGTCAGACTGTGTAAGCTGCAAAATGAGTAGTTACCAGATGGTCAGAATCAGAGTGATGGTGGGCCAGGGCCAGAGGCCCCGGGGCTGGTCATGGGTGAGGGAAGACTCAGTTGTCCTCCTGTCTATCCTACCCCAGCCTGTCCTGGCCCTGGTTCCCTGTGAAGGCAGGGACATTTCCTTTCCCACCTCGCACTAACTCGGGTCACCCAGACTCCATCTCAGGCTCACTCTTGCAGCTCAACCTGGGAATTATCTTTGTACCCACAAGTTAGTGCAGCCATGGCCTACCTGGCAGACGCTTCCCTATGGGAGTTTCCTTAGTTCCTGCCAAAATGAAGGTAGGCATCTCTGGGTGTTTCCCTGAACACCCATCAGAGAACCTTCTGCAGCTGTTTGCAGAGGCTGCACCGATAGTAACCCCTGAGGGTGGTGCGCTGCGCAGCTATCAGCAGAGTTCCCACATTCCACTTCACAACCATCACAAAAAGGGACAGTAGTTGCCATTTGCTGGACTTGGCACAGCAGCAAATGCTTTATGTCCATGATCTCATTTAATCCTCATATAATCCAGAGGGATGGGAACAAAGGCCCCTGTTTTACAGATAGGAAATAGAGTCTCAGAGAGGTCAAATGACTTGCCCAAGTTTCCAGTAAATGGTGGAGTCAGGACTCACACTCAGAGCCACTGCCACAGCCCGGGGTTTCAAACCTCTGTAGGGCGCTATTTCTCCAAGTCCCAGGACTGTGTCAGAGCTGGAAGGGTTCAATCTCACCCCAACCCCCACTTTACAGATGGACAAATCAAGGCCCAGAGTGACTGGCCCAAAACCACACAGCAAGTCACTGTTAGAGCAGGTTTTAGGACCACTCTTCCTAAAACCACACCACACTATTCCAGAAAACAAAAAGTGCCCCAGGCATAAACAAGAAACTATCTTAAGAAATCCCCAGTATTTCCTAGAAGGTGGAACAGGGTTCATAGACAAGGATCTCCTAGAGGTCTCAGGGTTAAGACAGAGAGTCCCAGTGTTACTTTGGGCAACAAGGAGACTGTGAGCATCACTCCTTTGGGCTTACAGAAGAGGCCTCGACTCCAGACACTTGCTGAGTGGTTTGTGTGCTCAGAATATTCTCCCCCATAGTCACCTTGCCTGGTATTGCCCACCTGTGCCTCAGGTGTCAGCTCAATGTCTGGGAAGGCCTCTGAGCCCCCACGTGCCTCCAACCATGGAGTCTCATGGGTCCAGCTCTTTTCCGTAACAGCACTGACTATAGTTTGTCTTGTGAACTCACAACACAGGCACATTTAACTAACACCAACTTTAGAACTTATCCTCCAACCACTGACCTCCAAAGATGCGACTCCAGAATTTGGTGTTATCCTCACAAAAACAAACCTTTTAACGTGTATTTAGATGACAGATGCCTCACAGGTAAGCAGATTGGAATCGCCCCAGCAGCCGCTAGGAACACTCCCATGTTCTCTGCCCAACCTCAGTTCATCCTTAGAGACGGGATTTTTTACTTAAAGGCAGAGTGGCTTCGATGTCCAGCTAG